TGCACTTTTCAAACTAATGGTTCCATTCAATTTTGCACAACAGAATTTGTAGAATTTGGAATATGGCCCTTTATCATTTAAATTGGAATAAAATTGATATACCATATAATAAACAATGTCAAGACGTTTGTAGTAATTAGTCTAATTTTCAATATAATTAGGAGGTAAGAAAATTATTTTATTCTTTTCAAATTGTCAGCATTAAGATGCTTGGGAAGATATATTTTTGTCTATAGTGAAAAATATTATATTTTAACTTTGTGGTTCTTAAAATTGGGGGGTGGAGGGCTGTATTTTTTCCTCCAGAAGACATTTTGGTAATGTCTGGAGACATTTTCAGTTGTCATGAATTGGAGAGGGTTGTTACTGACATCCAGTGAGTAGAGGCCAGAGATATTGGTAAACATCTTGCAAATTTCAGAAACATTATTTAAGCCTTCATCTGGTAACTTTTCTCTCCTTGTATTAGAGTTTAATGGAAGTAACTCACAAAAGGAAAAACAAAAGCTATAAGGGAATCGTGTGTGTGTGTGTGTGTGTGTGTGTGTATGTGTATGTAAAAATCAAACATACTTATGTTAACATCATTTGTTCCATATTCTGAAATTATTGTTAAAGTAAACTCATTTATCTTTTTACTAAGATGGCTAATGAGAAAGAATAAATGCCTGCTTGCTGGAGCACTGGGCACATATGGGCTGCCAATCCAACAGCTGATGCTTAGTAAGTATAGGCACATGTAAAACTCACTCTAATTGCATGCTGTTTCTACCTCCCACTGTCTTTCTTCTTCTGTCATTTACATTGAAGCCATTCCCACTTGAAATCTTCTCAGCACCCCAGGGCCTATGTCAGGGAATTCAAACTCTTTGGCCTCTAAGATCTGAATCCAATTTGGCTTTTCAGATGCACCTACACTCATGGCCCCTCCTCCATCCCTCTGACCTGCCAGTCCCTGCAAGTGAGACTCATCCCACCTCTGTCCTTTGTGTGTTTCTTTTCACACTGTTTTCAGTTCAATACGATGAACTTTCACTTTTTACCTTTAAACGTCTTATTGTTCCAGGTCTATCTCAAATATCACCTCCTTTGAGAAAACTTTCTTTTGTTGTTTTTGTTATTTGTTTTACACTTGTCTGATCCACTAACTTTTTATTCTCTCTCCTGAGTTCCCATAGCATTTTGTTCACATCTGTACATGCACCTATTGTCAACATGATTTACTTCTGTGTCAACAAATTTTAAGTTTCCGGAGAGCAAGGACTATATTTGGTTTAATTTTGCATTTCTCAGGAATCCCTGGGTAGCTTAGTGGTTTAGCGCCTGCCTTCAGCCTAGGGCATGATCTTGGAGTCGCAGGATTGAGTCCTGCAATGGGCTCCCTGCATGGAGCCTGCTTCTCCATCTGCCTATATCTCTGCCTCTCTCTCTCTCTCTCTCTCTCTCTCTCTCTCTCTCTCTCTCTCTCTTTCATGAATAAAATCTTAAAAAAAATTTTTTTTGCATTTCTCATGGGCTGTGAATATTTGATAACAGAACTGAATTTACTTATTTGAATCATAAACTAACATTTGAAGAAGCTCAAGAATGCAGATGTAAAAAATCATGAGGTACACTGCAAATTTTTTTCATTCCTAGTCAGAGAAAAACAACTTCTAGTATCTGCTAAACAAGGAACAGTTGGCTTTGGAATATTTGTATCTCCACTTCCATACCTATAACCTTCTTAAGATGAAAAGAAATCTGAAGCTACAGTATTTGGAAGGCTCATCAAATTTTGTAGGTTAATCAACAGCCATAACCATTATGAACTTAGTCTTTTTATTCACAGGGTAACATTTTTCTAGTTCAGAGAAAGTTAATCACTACTGGTTAGAAATAAAGATTAATTTAGACAAGCTGAGTGAGTGTAATTCTGCCTACTTTATATTCTTAAGAATTTAAAGGACAATTTCTTAAATGGAATGCATGTGGGTTTGTGTGTCTCATCTTATGCATGAAGATCAACGCATTAAAATCAGTCTCGGGGCACCTGGGTGGCTCAGTGGCTGAGCATCTGCCTTTGGCTCAGTCATGATCCTGGGGTCCTGGGATCGAGTTCCACATCAGGCTCCCCACGGGGAGCCTGCTTCTCCCTCTGCCTATGTCTCTGCCTCTCTCTCTCATGAATAAATAAAATCTTAATAAATAAACAAATAAATAAATAGCCTCAGGTAGTAAAAGCAAGATCTTACTGATATTTCTTCCTAGATCTAACTCTTTCCAATGTTGCTTGGGTGGCATATTAAGAGTTTTCTCATGGTTTAGGCACGTTATAATTTTTTCCAAAATTATTACAGCCATGCTCTATGGAGTAGTATTTTCCACCTTCTATTTTCCACCTTCCATTTGGCTTCCAGTTAGTGCCACCTAGTCACATTTAGCCCTGACTATGGGTACTTCCTTTGCCAACCTATATAGAAAGGTGGAGGGACCATTGGGCCATGTACCGTTCAGGTTAGATGCTCTCATTCTCATAACAGAATCTTGAGCTCTCCTCATTCTAATTGATATACAAAGCATATGAATTAACCAACATGTCAAAATTTCTGCCCTTAAATTCTGACCAGCAACAATGATCCTGACCCTTTTACTGTCTGAAAATCGTCAATAGCTTATAGTAAGAAATGTTGTTTATGAGGACTGCCTAAAAGACATGCATGCAATACTTCTATCACTACAAGTCAAAGATGCCAGATAGGTTGTTGCAGCCACTCAACCATCCTGCAGCCACTCAACCATCCTGCCCATGACAGACATTGTTAATCTACTACAGAACTTGTTCCTTTTGAGTGTGTACTCAGCCATAAAGCTTCCTAACAGTTTAGTCAGGTGACAAATTGAAACTTACTCGCCATCATGGGGAATAATGATCTAAATGCTGCCCTGAATAAAGCCATACCACTGAGGGCCTGTGATCCCAAACGAACAAAAAAGTTGGGACGGTTCATAGAATTGATTCAATACTTTGTGATGCTGGGCAACAGTTTACATTTAGGGGATCTACATAAAAATCTTTTTGGCATTTGTCTCCGAGTTAATTCCTAGTGCCATCATGATGAGGAATCAGGATTTCCCTTGGAAAATCAAGAAAACCTGCTTCTTAAAAAAACAAAACCAAGGGCAGCCCAGGTGGCTCAGCGGTTTAGCGCCGCCTGCAGCCCAGGGCCTGATCCTGGAGACTTGGGATCGAGTCCCACGTCGGGCTCCCTGCATGGAGCCTGCTTCTCCCTCTGCCTGTGTCTCTGCCTCTCTCTCTCTCTCTCTCTCTCTGTGTGTGTGTGTGTGTGTGTGTGTGTCTCATGAATAAATAAATAAAATCTTTAAAACAGAAAAAACAAAACCCGCGGGACCTGGAGGGCATTATGCTACGTGAAATAAGTCAGACAGACAAATACGGTAAGATCTCACTAACATGTGAAATCTGAAAAACAAACAAAAACAGAAAACTGAACTTGTAACAAATTATTGGTTGCCAAAGGCAGGGAGTTGGGGTGGGCAAAATGGGTGAAGGGGGTCAAAAGGTACGAACTTCCAGTTAGAAGATAAGTAAATCATGGGATGTAAAGTACAGAATGGTAACTATAATTAATAATACTGTATTGTATATTTGAAATTTGTTAAGAGTAAATCTTAAAAAGGTATCATCACAGGAAAAAAATTTTAAACTATGATTGTGATGGATGGTAACTAGACTTACTGTGATCATTTCACAATATACACAAATACTAACTCATTACGCTGCATACTTGAAACTAATATAATGTTATACCTCAATTACAAAAAGAAAGCAGCACTTACCAAGGCCTTGTCCACTTATTCCAACCCCCTTACCACACCTTAACTTTGTCAATTCTTGTCTCATCCAAACCCAAGTTGGAAAACTTCAGCCTGTAAGTTCTTGAGGGGTTTGAGTTGTCACTGGAATTTAGTACTCCATAAATACGATTTAAATGAATGAATAACTGGGGACACCTGGGTGGCTTAGCTGTTGAGCATCTGTCTTTGGCTCAGGGCGTGATTCTGGGTTCTGGGGATCGAGTCCCGCTTCTGGCTCCCTGCGAGGAGCCTCCTTCTCCCTCAGCCTATCTCTGCCTCTCTCTGTCTCTCATGAATAAATAAAATCTTTTAAAAAACTGAGTAACTGAATGGCTAACGGTAAGTGCCCTGCCTCCCGAAGTGCCCTGAGACTTCTGGACAGAAAAAAAAGTGGTAACCTTTTCCACTTTTTTTCTTGTGGACACAGGCTTATAAATGGAGGGAGTAAAGAGGATTAACCGTAGGGCAGGGATCTGCAAACACGGGTCTAAGTGTTGTGCTGTCTGGATAGACTCTAGCTAGCAGGAGGGCAGTAGGTGCTTAGAAAAAGTCACCTGAAGGAAATGTCAGGAGGTAGAGTGCTTATGCCTAGCATTTAAGGTTGGTTGAAGCCTGGTAGGAACACAGTTCCAGTCAGTGCCTAGTTGTTACCTATTCGGTTTCTGCTCGTGAAGTTGTGGTTTGGAGCTGGGAGAAATATGAACAAAGTCTATTTTTAGACGAAGATCACAGATACAAAGGTCCGTTTCACTATAAACGCCACTGACGTCTAGCTCGAAGGCGTGGTCGGTTTTCTCCGGAAACACAAGGGCCCCGCCCGCTCTTGAGCAGCTTCTCGGGGCCGAGCTCCGCCAGCAGAGGGAGAGCAGGAGGCGCGGCCCGGTCACAGCCGACGCAAACCCGGAGGTCCTGAGAACCCAGGGAGCGGCCGCGACGGATCGCCACAAACGCGCAGACGCAGCGGGGGCGCGGCCAATGTGGATCTTCGCGTCGTGACGTAGGCCCGTGGAAAGCAGGGAAGGAACGTGACCCGGCGTGAGGGGCGGGGCCTGGACACCGTGGGAAAGAGCGTCTGCGACGGCCCAGTCGAAAGGGCGTGGCCTAGGCATGGCCCAGGGGCGTAACCTGAAAAAGTTGGACTTAGTGCGTGAAAGGGGGGGCGTGACCGCTTGTAAGGGCCTGACAGAGTTGGTCGAGACTGCGGAAGAGGTGAGCTCGAGCAAAGGGCAGTGGAATTACCAGAGTGGAAAGGAGGAACGTGGGCACAAGGGAGAGACGTGGGTTCAGAGGAATGAGCTCGATCCCGGGATAACAAGGATGTGGAGAAGACCCGTGGAGAGGCGGGGCCCCGGAGTAGCGCCAGGTCGAAGCGGGGGTGGGTCCAGGCAGAAGGCAGAGGCGGGGCCAAGTTAGTGCGCAAGCGCGCGGCCGCAACTTCAGGCCCGGAGCAACAGCAGTAGAGGTGTAGCCCGGGCAGAGAACGGGTGCAGACCCAGGCTCTGGGTGCATGGAGAGCAGATTCTGGCTCCGACGCGGTGAGCGAGCCCAAGGACTTAAACTGCTTTGTCGGAGACCTGGGCCCGGGCGACGGGGACGTGGCTTGACGTAATTAAGCGAGATGACGTACCCGGCGTGAGGGGCGTGGCGAATCGTAACCGGACGTAGCCAAGATGGCCGCGCGCATGAGTCTCCTCGGTGCAGAGCGGAGGGGTCCGCGGCCCGGGAAACTTTCGGGTAAGATCCGGCGGCGATTACAGCATAAGGAGTAGGGGGCACACGTGGCCGTATTAGAGAGGACCGCCCTCTTCCCTCACGACCATGCTCTGCGATGGGCCCTGAAGCTGCAGCAGGCTGGCGGTTCCGCGAGGATGGCTGCAGTCCCCGCCGGGCTTCTCTGTAGAGCGGGGAGGAGGAAGCAGGAGATCGCTTTTTCCCTACTCTGACCCTGTTACTCCACTGTGAAGGTCACCAGGCAGCTACATCCCCTTGGGAGCTTGTCCATTTAACGGTAGATCAGCTGTCCCAGACACTTTGGGAGGTGGGGGGTTGCAGTTCCAGAAACCCAGGCGCAGCAGGCTGGGACTCACCCACATCTGCATCGTTGCTCTCCCCCCCTTGGCCATGCCAAAAGCTATGGGCAGAGTCACAGCCACACCAGGGCAGGGGATCAGCTTAGCTCTGTCAGGTGGGCATATCTGAGTTTTCTCTACTCAGTTGTCTCCTTTTCCTTTTTGCCCTGCCCCAGATCTGGAGGGAAAGAACCCACAAAACATGAACGTTGTTGGTGGCTCTGATTTTTTTGTAGCATGAGTTAAAAGCTACTGTGCTGAAGCTGTTGGAAACTCGTTGTTGTTGTTGTTGGAAACTATTATCAGTGTAATTACTTCTCATTTAATTTTGCTGCGAAAGCTTGAGAAATGCAGGACGATAGCGAAGAATTCCACTAATTTGGGTGGAATTAATTTTCTGTCAGCCACTGAAAGCCACATTACTTTCTGCTTTTCCTTCGTCCTTTACTGCTAATCTGGCCATCTCCACTCTATTTAAAAGTCTTGCCTGAATATGGAGAGAAGTCCAATATTTCTGGTGAGAAAAGCTGCCCCACAACCTGCCCCTGCAGGTCCCTGAGAACTGTCATTGTTCTCAGCCTGCTTTGGAGTTGACAATGAACCAAAGTTCACCACACCCACCTTCCTTTCTGGGTCTTAGTAAAGAGCTGCACTATTCTTGACTATTTTGGGAATGAAAATCTCTCTCTAGCCTCATGCTCTCTGCTGAGCACCAGAGCTGCCCTGGCAACTCTCCTAGATTTTTCCTCTTGCTGTCTCCTTAGACCTCAAATCCATAGAATTAGCAGGAAAACTGTCATCTTTCTTTTCCACTTGCTCTTTTTGCCAGCTTGTTTCTCTTCAGGCAGTCATCCTCATTCTACCACCAGCATCATCCAGCCATAAAGTCATGGGGCCTTCTTCCTCAACTACTTCCCTTTTCATCCCCTCCAGTGATGCTGCTCGACATCCTACAGTGTATAGGACAGGCTCAACACAGAGTTATGTGGTCAAATGTCAATAATGTCAAGATTGAGAAACCCTGAGTTAGAGAAAAAAACCTTTACAGTGGCCTAGAAATCTATGCAATCTGGCATGCATTACCTCTCCACCTTATCTCCTACTACCCTCCTCCTAGTACACTATTCCTGCCATGCTGGCCGCCTTACTATCCCTTTGTATTTGCCAGACACGTCCCCACTTCAGTCTTTGCACAGGCAATTCCCTCTTCCTGGAGTATCCTTCCTGCTGATAGCCCTATTACTAAATCCTTCATTTCTTAAATCTTTAGCTCAATTTTCAATAAAGCCTCCTTTGAGCAGTTGACTTTATTTTATTTATTTTTAAAGATTTTCTTTATTCATGAAAGAGACAGGCAGAGACACAGGCAGAGGGAGAAGCAGGTTCCCTGTGGAGAGCCCGATGCAGGACTGGATCCCGGACGCTGGAATCACACCGAGCCAAAGGCAGAAACTCAACCACTGAGCCACCCAGCCATCCCTGAGCAGTTTATTTTAAATGCAACACTCCTTTCCCAGTGGCACTTCCAAATTTACTCTATCCTGCTCTACTTTTCCTTGAACATACTTTAATTGTCTATATGGCTGACTTACGTATTATGTTGCTATTTATTGTCTGCTCCCCTTACTGGAATGTTAAGTTCCACAAGAGTAGGGACTTTGTTTTATTCCTCTAATGATCCTAGAACAGTGTCTGGTATTTAATAGACCTTTGATTGATGACCTGGTGAATGAAAAAATAAAAGAATGATGGATTGAATGAAGGATGGTTAAAGGAATCTCCATTTGTTGAAGCGCTAACACCCAGTCGAATGGTGCCAGGAGATGGAGCCTTTGTGACCATAATTAGGGTTATCAGGTCATCGTGCTCCATGATAGGATTAGTGTCCTTAAAGAAAAGGGAGAGTCCAGAGCTTGCTGTGTATCATGTAAGGACTTGGTGAGAAGATAGCTGTCTAGCAAGCTATGAAGTGGGTTCTCCCCGGGAACCAATTGGCCTGAACGTTGATCTTGGATTTCCAGCCCTTAGAACTGTGCAAAATAAGTAAGTGTCTGTTTAAGCCACTCAGTCTATGGCATTTTGGTAGAGCAGCCCAACTGGCTAACGTACTTCAGTGTGTTCATTGCCAAAGTGACATATACCACAGAGTGCGTGGAACCAGGTTGCAAGGCTAGCTTTTTATCACCCTTTACTTCGCAATAGTTGTCCCGACACATAGCTTGTTGCTGGTCATAAAGGGTTCTACCCGGAGCCCTCCTTTGTTCCTTTCAGGGCCATAATAGGAAGTAACTCTGCTTCCTGCTTTCAGTGGACACAGCTCAGGTGTGTTGTGTTTTTTTTTTTTTTTCCCTCTCTCCTTGCGCTTGGGTATAGCCCTCTTTCCTCTAGCTTGGAACTGGCAAGTTTGAGGCAGCAAAACAGGGGAGAAGAGCAGGTTCACAGTCAATTAATAGATACATGAAGAGAGGAGGATGAAATCAACTTTTCTGCCTTGCTCAGCATTGCTGGGGATCATAATGTGCTTTTTTTGTACCTTACGCTTTTCTCAGAAAGGTGATATGCAGAAAAAAGTTCCGATCTGTAAATGACATGTGTGTTCAGTGCATCCTCAATTTCAGTTTTGTGAATTTGGGCCCCCGCTTGCCCGCCACCACGGCCAGACAGTTGAGAGGCCTCTGGTAGGCCACAGGCAGAACCTGAGGAGTCCTGGATCGTTTTCCTTGCCATATGATGTGCATTTCAAGAGGCTCCAAGGGGGAGAAGTGAATTGCACACGTGGAGGGTCCAGTTCGTGCCTTGTTCTGCTTTGCATTCCAGCCCCCAGCATGGTTCCTGGAACAAAGGAAATGGCAATCAGCACAGAAGTGCAAGCATTTACAGCAGAATTCCCATCCCTGTGAGACCAACTTAGGTTCATCTTCGGGTGTGTTCCCCCTGCAGGTCGGGGAGAACTTTGGGGGTCCTTCACCTCTGAGAGGTAGGGATGCGAGGCCCTCGTCTGAAACAGCAAGCATTTAAAAGTGTTTCAGAAGTATAAGTAACCCCACAATTGGGTGATGGTGGCCTCTAGGGAGAGCCCTTCCTACTGTCCAAGAACATACTGGCCACCACTTCACAGTTTGCAGTCCTTGAAATCGGGATGCACATCTCCCGATTGTGCCCAGGTCACTGAGCGGCCATCATGTGCCAGGCCCTGTGTCCCCAAGAGATGCGGCTGTGGCAGAAACAGACATGGCCCTTACTGCCACAGGGCTGGGGTGCTGGGGAGGTGGCGTCACAATGTACGTTCCTGAGGAGGTGTTCAACTGCAAGAAGCACCATGAGGGAGGTGAAGAGGGCGCTGGGCTGAGCCCGTGGTCAGGGGAGGTTCTTGGAAGTGATGCTGGAGCGGAACACCTGAGGAGAGGGAAGGAACTAACCAGGCGCGGATGGAGGACAAGTGGTCCAGGGAAGGAGGAGCATCTGCACAAGCCCTTAGGCTGGAGGGAGCTTCGGGAGAGGGAAGAAGCAGAGTCCATGTGGCTGCTGTGCAGGCAGAAGTGGGAAGTAGACATCAGAGCGAAAGAGACTATCCTCCTGGAGTTGACCAGTGACTTTCAGGAAGAGGAGTAGATTACCAACTCATTCCCCCCTCAGCCCGCCCTCCTCCCTCCCCCAGCCGTGTGTACTCATAGTCTGAATGTTGTCCTGCTTAGAGGTTTCCAGTTGATGGCCAGTCTCAGTTGTTTACAGCTTTTCCTCTTCTGTCCTCCTGCCTCTAGGTTATTAGGTTCCTGCAAGTTATTTGGGGCCCAATCAAGATTTCAAGCTAAACATGGCAGTGATGAGTAGCCTGAGGGCCATTCTTCAAGCCTCTCCATGCAAGTCACTTTGGAGAAGATACCAGATCCCCACGTTCATGCCAGGAAGGCCCTGCAGCTGCACGTAACGAAACCTGGAACCAAGCCTGTGAGTACACTGCTGCCTTAAAGAGAGTGAGAGGTTGGGGCACCTGAGTGGTATAGTCCATTAAGTGTCCCACTCTTGGTTTCAGCTCAGGTCATGATCTCAGGGTCGTGAGATTGAGCCCCACCTCAAGCTCCAGGCTCAGCTTGGAGTCTGCTTGAGATTCTCTCTCCTTCTCCCTTTCCCCCTTCATCCCCCCTTCTCTGTTCATCCATGCTTACTCTCTCAAATAAATCTTTGTTTTTTTAAAAAAAATTATTTATTTATTCATGAGAGATACAGAGAGAGAGAGGCAGAGACACAGGCAGAGAGAGAAGCAGGCTCCATGCAGGGAGCCTGACGTGAGACTCGATCCTGAGTCTCCAGGATCACACCCTGGGCTGAAGGCAGTGCTAAACTGCTGAGCCACCTGGGCTGCCCTCAAATAAATCTTTGAAAAGAGAGCGAGAGGTTTGCTGTTACATGACAGTCACGTGTCCTGTGTTTATCTGTATAGTGTCAGTGGCATTCCAGAGTGGGATTGTGTACCTTCAGAACCATGAGAATAACTACTTGTTTCTCTATTTGTCTTCTAAAATAAACGTGGAAAATTCTTTTTCCCCCGGTTTATTGGCATATAATTGCCACATAACCTTGTGTGAGTCGAAGGTGTGCAATGTGCTGATTTGATACACATATATTGCAAAATGATTACCATAAAAAGATTTGGAAAGTCGTTTTCTTGACAAAGCTTACCATGTGAAAATGATGTCATGCAGAAATAGGATGAGACGTATTCTAGTTTCAAATAGCTTGGAAGCTGTTCTGTATTGTTTTTTTTTAAAGATTTTTTAAAAAATTTTTATTTATTCATAGAGACACAGAGAGAGAGAGAGAGAGGCAGAGACACAGGCAGAGGGAGAAGCAGGCTCCATGCAGGGAGCCCGACGTGGGACTCGATCCGGGGTCTCCAGGATCACGCCCTGGGCTGCAGGCGGCGCCAAACCGCTGCGCCACCGGGGCTGCCCCTGTTCTGTATTGTTCTTGTTAGCAACAGTTTTCTTACAAACATTGATCCACAGACTGCGAATTATTTCTGAGAGTCTTAATGTTCTGGAAGTTGCATGTTAATGTTTGTAAGCAGGTCAGTAGCTTCGCAATCTGAAATATTCTTTCTCAAGTTACAAATTGCAGAGTTCGTTCTGGTTGACCAGCTTACCCAAATGGGCTCTGCCATAAACACAGCATATTAATCGAGGCAGCAGATGGTCTTTCCTGAAACCTCTTGTATCTCATCCCTCTCCTGAAATACCTGTTCCCTGCCATGTCCCTGTGGTGCAGGGATTGTCCACCGAGGTTCTACTGACATTGGGGATGGGTCATTCTGTGTTGTTGTGGGTGCAGTGTGCACTTTAGGTGTTAAATGACATTCTAAATATCCACTGAGGAACAAAATAACCCTGGTAAAGCACCAACGAGATTGTAGGAGGAGGTTAACGTATGTGTTAGTGGAGAGAGGAGTTAAAGAAAAGGCTAGGAATATTTTATATATTTCCCACTTTTCTCCATGAGTTAACAGAGTTTGAAATGTTGGCTTGCTTCAAAATTTCAGGTTCTTAACTTTTCCTCCTTAGATTTCTTTTCTTTAACCCTATATTGCACATAAGAAAATGAATTCATTAGTAATGCTAATCTGGTTAAGTTCATGGCCTTAAAGCTGCTTCATAAATATATTTTTATTTTAGGTTTATTTTGTTTTCTCCAACATTGACTCTGTTCTCATTAGAATAAACTGACTGGAGTCATACGTTTCTGGTTGCTAGGGGTGGCTTCCTACCAGTAGACTCACATATTACTCTAATGGCTTATTCCCAACATTTACATTTGCGGTCTGAAGCTTAAATTGAGGGGGAAAAAATGATAGTATCTGTCTAGTTACTAATATTTTGTGTTTGTGTGGGAGTTTTTCTTGATTTTTGTTTGTTTTTATTTACAAAGAGATGAAATTTGAAGGTATAAAATTCAATATGCTAATGACTTCAGAATAGTTTGCTTCTTTTAGTATTGACCCAAAAAGCAGTGGCTTGGGAGTTGTGGGGGCTTCCCTTGATTGATTTCCCACCTCAGATGAAATGTTATTTATTTATTTATTTAATTACTTATTTACTTATTTATTTTTAAGATTTTATGTATATATTCATGAGAGACACAGAGAGAGAGAGAGAGAGAGGCAGAAACACAGGCACAGGGAGAAGCAGGCTCCATGCAGGGAGCCTGACATGGGACTGGATCCTGAGTCTCCAGGATCAGGCCCTGGGCTGAAGGTGGCGCTAAACCGCTGAGCCATCCAGGCTGCCTGAAATGTTCTTATTTATAAGTTACTTAGAAAAAACATGTGATGGGATCCCTGGGTGGCGCAGCGGTTTGGCGCCTGCCTTTGGCCCAGGGCACGATCCTGGAGACCTAGGATCGAATCCCACGTCGGGCTCCCGGTGCATGGAGCCTGCTTCTCCCTCTGCCTGTGTCTCTGCCTCTCTCTCTCTCTCTGTGTGTGTGTGACTATCATGAATAAATAAAAAATTAAAAAAAAAAAAAAGAAAAAACATGTGACAATCATGATTTGATTTTACTTTTTGGAATAATGCACCAGCCCTCCTCCCTGTTTTCACTGGGGGGAATTTTATGGTCTCTGCTGCCCTGAGCCACTGAGTATGTCCTGTTCCTAAATCCCAGACCTTTTGCCTTTTCAATTGTAAGGACAATATGTATTGTGTCTGGCAACTTAACAGCCCACTGTTGCTGGTTATAAAGGGTTCTGCCTGGAGCCCTCCTTAGTTCCTTTCAGGGCCGTAATAGGAAGTAACCAGAAGGCCCATTGCACACTTGCGACCAAGAACAACCCAAGATCGCTGAGGGTTAGAAAAGATAACATGGAAAGCCCTTTGCTAGTACCTGCCACACAGTGAGGACTGTGTTGGCAGGTTACTTCTGGTACTATGATTATCATCATCACCGTCTTTATCATCATTATCGACTCAGTGCCTCCCTCAAAAATGTTTGGCCATTTTTAAAATGGGGGTAAGCAGAATGAGGAGTAAAGGAAAGAGGAGGATATGGCAAATTCAGAAAGCAGCATTTCACTAGAGCCTGTCTATGTCTGTGCTTCACCTTCACACTCTACTCCCCACCTCCCAGGGAATCGTTGTCTGTCAACTCAGATTGCTGTTCGCTGTTATCTCAAGTAGCAGACAGTAAACATTGACAGTCCTGCATCTATTACCCAATATGCAAATAAAATCAATTTTACTTAGTATATCATCTAGTGAAATTCAGTTTCATTGTCACAGGAAAAAAATGTTAGAGATCTTCAAGCATAGGAAAAGAAATTTAATGTTAATTTTTAATTTAATGAAACATAAAGAGTATCAACTAGAATGGAAGTGGTACGGATTTGTTGTTATTCCAGTGATTCTTCACGATCTCCTTACTTTTAGAAGGAAAAGAAACATTTTTTTTAGAATAACATGGAATAGAATGGCACTATATAAAATCTAGCCACTGGACCCATGTGTGTATTTTCATGTAAATGTAAATTTATTATAATTTTATGGCCACATATTGCTAGCACTTACCATATTGAAACTTACCATCATCAGAGAAAGTTCTATTTGATAGGACTGGTCTGTATCATAACTGTATTAGTAAAATGTTCTATTATTTCTCCTGTTAAACCTTGATGAACACAAAGCCTGGACAACAGTATTAAAAAGCTTGTTTTACAATGTCTTAACAGAGAGTTTTATTAATCCCTTGATAAAACAAGCTGGGATACCCCGACTGTGTTGTCTTCTATTAACTTTTGAATAATCCTGAGAAACAATGGACTGGTTAAGAGCCCCTTGAAATTATGTTAATGGCCTCAGGGGTATCAGCAGCTATAAGGAGTGTTATAACACTGAGCCTCAGGAACTGTGGGCTTTAGTCTCCTGTGCTGAGAACTGCATGTGTATGCTGCACTTGCCTGGGCTCAGCATCAGAATGTCTTTTATAGCTCTCATGCTCTGAGAAGACAATTTGTGATCTTTCTTAGCAATATCCTGTGGGAGGAAGCTGTCCCTGTGAATCCTATCACTGTGCCCAGCCCTAGCTAGGCCTACTAGGGATCTTAAATTACATGAGGAAATCGCACATCTCAAGAAAAAGGACAGTAACAGGGCAAGGCACAGGAGAAAAAGCCAGTGAGGTTGTCCAATAGATAAATAATGTGAGCCACCAATATGAGCCATATGGGCAATTCTATATTTTCCAATAACCATATTTAAAAAGGAACAAATAGTATGTCAGTAAAACTGAAGGAAAAACAAATGTGTTCAGTTATGAAATTCTATACAGGAAATATATAGATGAAATATAGTATACAGACAAAATTAATTTTACTGATATATTTAACTTAGTATATCCAAAATATTATCACTTTAACGTATAATTGATATAAAAATCATCAAAATAGTTTACATTCTTTATTTTGTACTAAGTCTTCAAAGCCCAATGGGTATTTTACATTTATAGCATATCTCATTTTGAATGACCAAGGGGAATAGCATGGCAAGGTTCTAGAATAGCATGGCAAGACCAGAGTTTGGGAAGAATGAAGAGAAAGGAAATTTAGGTGGCTAAGATGGGTTCCTCATAGGAAAACCTTGGCACTGGACACAAATTAGGATTTGACATACAGACTTTAAAATAGGAACAGCATGGGACATCTGGGTGGCTCAGTGGTTGGGGTGGCTGCCTTCGGCTCAGGTCATGATCCTGGGATCTGGGATCGAGTCCCACATCAGGCTTCTGCAAAGAGCCTACTTCTCCCTCTGCTTGTGTCTCTGCCTCTCTCTCTCTCTCTTCTCTCTCTCTCTCTCATTGTCTCTCATAAATAAATAAATAAATCTTAAAAAAAACAGGAACAATATGATAAAGGTGGTAATTTAGGAAAATTGTCGGATGGTAAAACCTAGTAGAGGGTATTG